GTTGGAACACAAGCTTTAGCTGTATAGAAAAGGAGATAGAAGCCCTCTTGAAGTTCAAACTTTGTTTCTATGATCCATCGCATATGTTGTCTTCTTGGAAAGGCAATGACTGTTGTGAATGGAGAGGAGTAGGCTGTGACAAAAATAATGGATATGTTATCTCACTTCAACTCAGGGGATCAGCATTTACTAATCAACAGCCTCAATTGTGCTTGATTGACAATGTAGAGGAGGTTGGTTCAAGTTTGCTCAAGTTGAGATACTTGGAACAGCTAGACTTGAGCAACAATAATTTTAGCGGTAATCTTATTCCACCCTCCTTTGGCTTGATGAAGCAGCTGAAGTACCTAAATCTCTCTTATGCGCAGTTTAGAGGAAAAATTCCTAGGGAACTTGGAAATCTTACAAGGCTTCATGTCCTTGATCTTTCTCAAAATTATTATGGGGGATTGAAGGTTGATGATGACATTCAGTGGATTTCTCATCTCTGCTCTTTGCAACGACTTGATATGAGTAGAGTAAATCTAAGCCATGCCTCATCAAACTTGTTCCAGGTACTTGGCATGCTTTCTTCATTATCATGGTTGAGTATGTCAGATTGTAGTCTAAAAAATTCTCATATTCCATCTCACAACCACCTCCTTAATTTTACATTGCTTGGAAATATTCAACACTTCGATATGTCGTATAACTTTTTTCATGGTTCAATGCCTATTTTTCTCCAAAATATGACTTCATTGACATTTCTTGATATGAGCGGAGTAAGTCTAAGCCTTACATCATCAAACTTGTTTCAAGTACTTGGCATGCTTCCTTCACTATCATGGTTAAGTTTGTCAAGCTGTAGTCTCACAAATTATCACTTTCCATCTGACAACCGTCCCTTTAATTTTACATTGCTTGGTAATATTCAACACTTAGATCTTTCAAGTAACTTTTTCCAAGGTCCAATACCTATATTTCTCCAAAACATGACTTCCTTGATAGTTCTTAATCTTTCTAGCAATCAATTGAGTGGGAGTATTTCAGATAGCATTGGACAACTTTTTAAGTTAGAGAGCATAGATCTCTCT